CCTAGTAGTGGAAGCGCACAGGAAGAGGCACTCTCCTGGGCGGCTGCTGGCAGTGTTAGTGGGTCCACTGTCAAGACCTTCGGGCAAGACTTCTAACAAGCTGAGCACAATGCCTCTCCTACCCGGCCCAGCAATTCCACGTTATGTGCAATAGAACTATGCCCCTAGGTGATGTGCACCTCAATATTCATGGCACTGTCTGAAACAGCACAACTGGAAACCACCCAGAAGAAAAGTCATTCGTGGTATATTCATTCCCACAATGCAGTGAGTATACAGCAGAGAGAAATGAACAAGTTATAAGTGAGCCGGGTGGTGGTGGCACACACACGCCTTTAATCCCAGCACTTGGGAGGCAGAGGCAGGCAGATTTCTGTGAGTTCAAGGCCAGCCTGGTCTACAAATCGAGTTCCAGGAAAGGGGAAAAGCTACACAGAGAAAACCCTGTCTTTAAAAAACAAAACAAAACAACAACAAAAAAGTTATGAGTCTCACAGATACACTGAATAAAAGATGCCTGGTGGAAAAAAATTCATTTATAAAGTGTACAGATTAAATCCGGTGGGGAAGAAGGCTTTTAACTGAAACTCTGCTTTCTCTGAGATATAAATAACATTGTCAGAAAATTCACCTCTTTAAAGTACACAATTCAATAGTTTTAGTATATTTATAGGCTTGTGTAGCCATTATTAATTCCAGAACACTCTCATAGCCTCCAAAAGGAGCACTGTTCCTATTAGTAGTTAGTTCTCAGTGCCAAGGATGCTTTGGGTGCCCACTTACAGATCTTCCCTTGTGCTTATGCTGTCACTAGTGGAGAGGCTAAAAAACGCACAATGGGCATTCTGGGTCACCTAACTCTTTATTGTGCGGTGACAATCTGTTCATCTAAGAAGCTTAACAGCCTTGCCTTACCCCACTAGATCTCAGTGGCAACTCCACCTTCTCCACTCCCTAGGAAGTGGTGATCACTATCACATATCCCTTGGGATCAAACTGGCGGCCAGTTAGGTCTGATCACCAACAGGGAAACTGGCTGCTATCCTCCACTCTTGAGTAGGCTTGAGCCAATGAACCTGTGAGTCTGAGAGTGAATATTTAGTTGGAACTAAAAAACAAACCCAATGGGCATTGCAACTGGCTTTATAAGTTCATTTACATTTAATTTGTATGTTTAATTGTGTTATCAAAATAAACAGTTTCATATCTGTTATTCTTAATATATTTACATATTATCAAAAGCCTAAAAAGAGGCCCTCATTAATAAAAACAAAACCTTTAGACAGAAGCATCAGTGTCAATCTTAGTTCAACTGAGATAATCTAAGATGCTGTTATGCCCACATCAAGTGCCTATATGCACACTCCTTTTACAGTTCGGGATTTTTCCTTTTCCTTCTTTAAAAAAAGTCACATAACCCTATTCTAGTTGGGATCAATATAGTGCAATAAGTGCAAAGGAAGCAGGTTACTGAAGAACACTGAGAAGAGCAAATTTAGCGCTACAAGTGCTAGGTCTGAGTCTTAGTACTAATACTAGCTAAGAGATTACCTAGATCACTGGAGTTCTAGTTTTCACACACAACATGAAGACATGATGGGAACCAATGTGTTATATTAAGAGAGACAGTACCTATGAAAGCACTTATAATCTCTAAAGAGATTTCTAAGAATTTTATTAGTATTACAAGCTTACCTCAGTCAATTTGCTCAGGTCAGAATGATCCTTGAGTAGTTGCTTTGCATAAACAACTGATATTTTGATATTTTTATCAACTCTTTCCACTTCATTGAAAGCCAGAGGCTGAGAAGGCACGGTATTCTGGGATATATCTTCTGGATTTGATGAGGCATTCAAAAGAAGCCCATAGATGACTTGCCGGATGGGCTGAGCTATTCTGTGGGCATTTGGTCGCTGCATATTTTCTACCTGTGTGTGAAGAAAGGTCCTGTGGAGCACCAAAGCATCACTGATGAAAGGTGGTAGCTGGCCTTTGGCTAGAGCTACTTGTACCCACTCTGGTAAGCCCAGATTCAAAGCGTCTGGACAGACGTAAGTACCACAGTGGAAGAAGTCCTGCAGCTTCACCTGAGAAGGCTGGTACTCCTCCATGGAACAGCAGAGAAGTTCCTTGACATCTTCTCGACCCTTTTTGGGGAGATGCTTCAGGACATGATCTAGTGCTTCAGTGGGGTCATCAAAATGAGACAACCAGTTCAGAAGTCCCACAACTCGTTGATACCTCCTCCCCTTAGAACTAAGAGGAAGACGTGCTTTACTTATGAATGTCTCTATGATGGGCAGGTTAACATGGTCATTTCCACATAGCACCGCAAAGAGAGGTAATAGAGCTTTGTTCATGTTGCTGAAGTAATGGCAAAATGCATCAAGGGAAAAGCATTTGGCAGGAATATAGTAATCTTGTGTAGTCTTAACAATGTTCAGATTTCTCCACTGAAAGCTGCTCAGTGGGCAAAAGCCACTTTTCAGGTCAAAAATGCAAAAGTCACTATCTGATGATAGCACAGGACAGTTCCAGTGATTGGCAAGTGTCATAATGTCCCGATCTGCTTCTGAAAAGCTCTGGACAAAGCATACGTTAAGCCTAATCAAAACCTGGATGAACACTTCTCGGATGAGTAAGGGACACACATTCCCACCTCCACCAACAGAAAGGGAATGGGCTGCTTGAATCTTCTCTCTAGCTCGATCCTTCAAAGTTGTAAGCTTTTTATCTGAAATGTCACATCCTCCATCTAATACAACATATGGACAAATATGACAGGCAAACAGTGATTCAAAGAATTTCTGTACAACGTTTGCAAATGAATCATAGTCCCCTCCATACCGGAGTTCCAAGTTTGAATTGAAGCAAAGTCGGTGGAAAAGAGAATAGCCATCAATGATGATTTTTGTGTCTCGCAGTTTCAAATCAGTGAAGAATTCATTACTATAGTCTTCCACGAAACTCATGAGTCCTCGGATGCCCATGATGACTGACAGAACTGCCTGCTGAAACAATAAAGACACAATTTCTATGGATGGTGCCTCTGACGGCTATTCTTGGTTGCCAATTTGACTACATCTGGAATCAACCAAGACCCAAGCTGCTGGGTATACTGGTGAGGGATTTTTCTTAATTGGATCACTGGAGGTGGGAAGACCCACCTTAAATCTAGGCCCCACCTTCTGGTGGCAGTCTATACAAAGGATGTGGACAGAGGAACTTCCTGCTCTTTGCGCACCTGCTCTAACTCTCCCCGGCAGGTCCGTCCCTTCCTCAGCACTAGAGCCTACTTCTTCAGCATTCTGGGGGGTCCCGAAGGCCGGCTGAGACATCCAGTCTCGTGGACTGAACAACTCCCGGATTCTTGGACTTTCCGTTGGGAGACAGCCATAGTTGGAAGAGTCGGACCACTGACTTGAAGCCACTCTAATAAATCCTGTATGTGTGTTTGTAGACAGACCCTACTATCGTTCTGTTTCTTTAGAGAATCCTGACAAATATGGTGCTTTTAGGGGCACCAGATCATTGCTTCAATAGAAAATGAGACATGCTCTTTAAACAGACTATACTGGGTGTCAGCATATCTAGCTGAGCATTTTTTCTTGTGTGGTATAAGACACAAACTCAGTTGTTTCATGGGAATTGATCTTGGTTAATGATGGAGGCCTCACCAGAACACTATGGTCACACCAACATAGATTTTTTTTTTTGGTTTTTTGAGACAAGGTTTCTCTGTGTAGTTTTGGTGCCTGTCCTGGATCTCACTCTGTAGGACCAGGCTGGCCTCAAACTCACAGAGATCCGCCTGCCTCTGCCTCCCGAGTGCTGGGATTAAAGGCGTGCGCCACCACCGCCGTCCCCAACACAGAAATTCTATGGATTTTGCTACTGATGTTTCCACTTTACAAGACTGAGTATCTGGTGAGGGTCAAGGCAAAAAGTCCTAAGCTATAAGAATGACACCCTTGTCGATGTTATAAACCTCAGTGTAGGGCACATAAGGATCCAGTTTTTCTTTCTTATGGATAAGACCCTTTTTACAGGTATTGAGTGTGGGGCCATTAAATAGCGGTTTGGGGTAAGAAAAAAAAAAAACTACAGCTTTATGCTTCTAAGACCCCAACTATCCAATTTCAACCCCAATTATTTACATCCTCTTCTGGTCTATCTCTGGCTAACAACTCATAGGATTGGTTGGTATTACTGGTTTTCCCTCTTGCCTCAGACTTCAAATATAGCTTAGTGTGGTACTATAACCAACCTTGCTTTGTTTAAAATCGTGAAATTTTTGCCAGTCTTGGAATTTTTGCATTTTGATTTTTAGAGATACTACATAAAAATTCATCACTCTGAATTTTTTATTTTTTGGGTTTTTTTTTTTTTTTTTTTTTTTTTTTTTTTTTTTTTTTTGCATCTGCTAACATTTCACCTCACTTCAGACCCACCTCGTTCAACATCTCAGCACTTTGAATTCCAAATAGTCATTTCTTTCCGGGTCTGTCTGGTGGTTTCTGCAAACTCACGACTCGTAGTAAGCTAATGGCACGACCTTGCATGGCGTAGCTCAACAAATGCAAGCCAGGCAGGGCAAAGGTGACACAGACCTTCCTACCCCAAGCCACCGCGGCCCTCTCAACCCACCTGCTGCTTCCTCCCGGTGGCCCACTCCCTTCATCAGCGGCTGGCAGAAGCCCTGGACCCCGGAGAACTGGCGGGCTGGCAGGTGAGCTGAAGACCACGAGCGGAAACCGGAAGTACCTGGGGATGACGTCACTGGGAAGCCTAGCTCCGGGAAGCTAAGGGCGCTGCCGGTAGACGAAAGTGTTTTCGGGCCAGTGGTGGTAACTTGGTGTAGAAGGCTGAGGTGTTTGTCTCACGATTGCGGCCGCTTCCTCAGGGAAGCTCGGCCCGCCTCGCCCCCCACCCTTCGCTCCGCCTCATAGGGTCGCCGGCGCTTCCGCTGGCCGGGCGGCCGAACCCCCGAACCCCGACTTCCCAGCAGCCCCCGCGCCGTTTCCGTGGCGACGGTGTCAAACAACCACGCCCTCCGAGGCAAGGAGCTTTAAGCATGGCCGGGCGTCGCGGGTCCGGGACCAGGAAAGGTAACAAGTGGAGCTGGGGCAGCCGGCCCTGCAGCCCCCGGACCCCATTCCCCCTCGGGAGAATAAGCGCCCAGCCCCTCGATATACATTCACCTGCTTTGCGAAAATCAGTTTATTTGCTGGAGAGTCAAGAAAGTTGTTCTTTAACCTCAGGGTTAGAGTTTACCACTCAGGTCAGATTTAGCAGAACCCGACGGCTTCCTAGTGCTTGTTATGTGGACATAAACCACTCGATTCCCACCCGCAATAAACACTTGCTGCTTTTTTTTTTTTTTCTTGGCCTGCCCCAGCGGGATGGGTCGTTTTTCCTAGGGATGGTTAGCACAAAGTGGGCATCTCTCTCTCCGCTCTCTCCAATTCCCATCCTGCTTTCTTTCCTTTTTTTGTCTTTGGACCACAGTTGGTTTTTTGGACCCTTCCTTGCTCTCCAAACGTTTACTGATACTGTATATCCACTGTTAGCAAGGCACCAGGGATGCAAAGATAACGTGTGTTCCCAGCACCCAGGTTCATCCACCGCCCCAGTTTCAGATCCAGGCTGCAGTATATGTCCATTCTGTGGTTATGGACAGGGATGAGAGTGACAGAGCTGAGTCTGTGAGATTAGCCTGGAGGACTGTTTACACACTGCTGGGTTTATCTCTCCATTACAAATAGAAGCTCCTGGCCCTCCATCTTGAGTTCTGTCCTCCACCAAACTTTAATCTCCCCACTAAGGAGAATTATTAGTGATCTAAAAGGCTGTGATTAGGCCTTGCAGTTTCCCAAACAGCTTATTTTATCTAGAAAGCACCACTTTTCTGCCAGTCAAAAAGCAAACAGAAGGTACTTTTTAGAGGTCTACTCTTTAGGTGCTGTAGATTTTACTAACATTCCCTTGAGGAGGGCTATTGCTGTCACTGGGGCTGGATGAAACAACAGATTAGTACACTATTTAAAGAAAACAATGTTACAACTTGGTTTTATGTTTGTTTTGCAAATTTTCGTGCTTGATTGCCCTGGTAGGTTTTGTGGTACATGTCAAGCCATCGTCATAACAGTATTTTTTCTTCTTGCTTTGGAATTGTTGAATACAAAAACCTAGGGCCAAGGCATACATGGTTTTCAGTGTAAAATCATATTTTCATACAGATTTAAAACAAGAAAAATTTTCAATAAAACATTTAACACTTGGGTGGAATAAAAATGTATTCTGTTCATGAAACAGTTCTGCCATTCACAACTGCCATACATTTCATAGCTCCTTGAGGAATTACGGTTTTACCTATACATTTATATTCAGCTACCTTTAAAATGCAGTTTTAGTTTTGAGTTGCATTTTGTTATTTCTAATCCAAGGAGATTACTCTGTATCCAATAAAATAGAAATGGAATCAAGTTTTGCTTAGGATGAAAGGGAGACAAAAATACTCTGAATTAATATCCCTCCCCATATCGAGTCTGATAAATAAACTGTGATTTAAAGTCTACATGGAAAAATGCAGGGGAACGCCGAGTATGCTTATTGATGGTTTAGTCCCAGTTTACTCTGGTGGTAAGCCAGAGTAGACATAGAAGGAAGACAGCCTCCAGGGAAGCCGTGGTCCTGTGTTTGGATTTTTCTTTTAAGTTGATGGGGAGTATAAATATTTAACAGAAAATTATAAGACAAATACACATTTCAGATGTCAGTAAAAACTGGCTGTAAATCTAAGGAAGGCTGTCTTTCTCTGAGAAAGTGCCTTCTAGAGTTTGCAGGATTTTCACCACCCTCCCCGACACACGGGCTTGCACACGGGCACGTGCTAGCTGGTGTGATAACACAAGGTACAGTGCAGGCATCATTGTCAAAAGCTTCTACTTTTTTGTAGGAGTTTTATAGCTGCTTTTAGACATCATCTGTGGATTTTCCATATTTCTGGCATCAGTAAACACTTCCTGCCCGACTCTCGACCATTAACCGGGAAGCCTGACTGTTTCTGTGAAAGAACAAGTGAGCTTTACCTTGGAGCAATGCTGAAATTTCAAGAGACTGCTAAGTGCCTGAGTGGTTCTACAGCCATTTCCAAGTGTCCAACTACCTTGATCGCAAGAAGATATGTTCTTCAGCAGAAACTTGGCAGTGGAAGTTTTGGAACTGTCTATCTGGTGTCAGACAAGAAAGCCAAACAGGGAGAGGAACTGTAAGTAATAAATGTTCAAATCTGGGTGTAGCCACTGGCTAGGCCGAATTTAAAACATAGCGTCATATCTGCTCTGTACTTTATATTAAACAAGAAACTGTTAGACATAGAAAAGTCCCTTCACTGATTTTTCTTTAGATACCCCCACCCCATTTTCTTTGAAGCCATGGGGCTTTGCTCTAAAACTAAGCTACACTCTCTGCCCCAGATAAGATTTTAAAAACAACAATATTCATTCCAGATCCAGATAAAATATTCAAATGACCCAGAGAAGGTAAATAGGGAGGTTATGTAAAAAAAAAAAAAAAAAAGACTTTCTAATGTATACTGCAGTATCAAAGGCAAAATATTCCCTCTGACCTAGGTTGTGGACTTCCTTGATGAGGAAAGCCGAATTCTTCAAGATGATGACTATTTTTAGAAATGCTACAGAATGAAAATAAACAGTATTTCACATGCCAGATAGATGGGGTGTAGTGAAGGAAAGATGCTCTTTTCTTCGGAATCTGTAGTCAGAAGCTAGACATTTAAAACAAACGGATCTTCTCATTCAAAACTAGTTCACATTCATGGTACCCTTGTCACCTTTAACTTTGCTAGAAAACTCTTGATACCACTGCCTGCTGCTCTCTCACAGTGAAGTGTCCATTTTAGGTGAGTTTGTTTTCTATCTTTTTTGTTTGTTTGTTTTGTTTTTTGAGACAGGGTTTCTCTGTGTAGCTTTGCGCCTTTTCCTGGAACTCACTTGGTAGCCCAGGCTGGTCTCGAACTCACAGAAATCCGCCTGGCTCTGCCTCCCGAGTGCTGGAATTAAAGGCGTGCGCCACCACCGCCCGGCTTTTCTATCTTTTGCAGTTAAGAGTTAATTGTAACTGAAGTTAGGCTGGGATGGTGGTTCAGCTGGCAAAGTGCTTGTCATGCGGGCATAGGACCTGAGTTTGATCCCCAGGACCCACATAAAACAAGCTAGGTGTGGTGGCATGCGCTTGTAATCTCTGTGCTGGAGAGTCAGGGACAGATGGGTCCTGGGCTAGCTGGCGGCCAGCCAAGCCAAACAGCCAAACTCCTGCTTCAGTGAGAGAGGCCGTCTCAAAAACAAGGTGACTAGAAATGGAAGAAGAATGACGCCTAAGGTTGACTACTGGTCTGTCTGTCTGTCTGTCTCTACACACACACACACACACACACACACACACAGAGAGAGAGAGAGAGAGACAAGAGACAGAGAGACAGAGACAGACACAGAGAGAGAGACAGAGGGAGGGAGGAAACATTGGAGGAATTCAAAACAGAAGAAAGAATGATGCACCCAAGAAGCTCTTTGCCCCCGAAGATCAAGTTTCTAGCCTAGTGTCTTTTCGTCGACAGCCTCTGGCTCCTGTCACCCCTTCCAGCTTTTTCTTGTTGGATATTCAAGTATGGGTTGAGATCAGCATGACCCATGACTTTCTACATCTTGCTAGGTTGTAGGAGTTATAAAAGTGTTACCAATGGTTTGTTTTAAAGATCAACTTTTGAAATGGTCTCTGTGTATAACATTTGAACAAGTTGTTGTTATCTAGACTTCCGAGTTTTCAGGCAGTTCCAGCATGAAGAAAGGTGAAAGCTAGTGTTTTTGTGGGTTCTCAGAGCATGAGGTATACAATGTATTTGTTAGTTTTCTCAATGCCATGACAACACACTTACAAAGCGACTTGAGAAAGGAAGGTTTATTTTCCCCTGGGATTGAGGGGATGCAGCCCATAATGGTAAGGCATGGCAGTGGAAGTGGGAGTAGCTGGTCACGTTATCTCCATAGTCAGGAAACAGAGTGACATGGGTGCGGGTCTCAGCTCTCTCCAGAATCTCTTTATTGGGGCCAGAACCCCAGCTCATCAGATGATACTGCCCACATTGGGGGTGAGTCTTCCCTCCTCAGCTAAAGCCCTCTGGAAACACCCTCTCAGATACACCCAGAGATATGTCTCCTAGGTGAATTCTGAATTCTGTCAAGTTGACAATAAAGATTGAGCATTGTATGTTCTTTCTGGAAAAGACTTTCTCCTTCAGTCCTAAGGGTGGTCTTCTAGTCACCCAGAGTGAATGATAAACTTCTGATAACTGCTATATGTGACTATATTCTAAAAGAGAATATCCTAGTTCCTAATTTTGGCTTATATTATTTTTCACAATGACCCCCTCACCCTCATACTTTAGTTTATGAGCAGGCTACCTCATCAGTACCTTTCATTATCCCAAAATTTGATTATTAGGTAAGGTTTTGACCCTTGCTTTATGTACTGGACCACAAACATAAGGAAGTGATGTTATAACTAGGCAAAGGTGAATGCTTGCTAAGAAAGACGATTTTTATAATGTTATGACTACTGTTTCTTTAGCTGATCAAAGCAGATATCCCTAATATTAAATATTAAAATAATTGACTTGAACAGACCACTTGTCTGAATTGGGATGTAAGACACTTATAATTGGTCCCTGTGAAATACAGGTTTATGTAATATACTCTTCTAGATACAATGAACTTGACAAAATGGACCACAGGTTCTGACCCTCCCAACAAAGTCCTGCAGTTCATCATATTGCCACTTGGGGGCACCACATCATCATTGACATTTTGTGTATACTGGGAACTTTAATTACAATGTAAATGTAAATACCACATTCCTTTAAATTTTTATTGCTCTCCCAACTAGCTGTGGGATAAAAATAAAAGCTGCAGGAATTATGCTTGATTAGTGCATATTTGGAGAGAGTTTTCTTTGGGCACAGATATCTGACATTCTTTTTTTTTTTAGTTATTACAGTAATAATAAGATTAAACTGTTTTACATTGAGTAGTGAATGAGAAAGCTGTTTCTTCCATTATGACATTTGCATCATGAAATTTAGAAATATATTTTGCCTAATGTTTTTCTTTCATAATTATAGACACTCGGGTCTAATGGATGTAATTATGTTCTAAAAGAATATTATAGCTCATAATTTCAGTTTATATTTCCATAAAGCTGCCAAAGCATTTTTTAAAAGAAAATCCCAAGGATTTTTTGATACATCAAATTATGTGTATCTATGGGATACC